CGCCGGCGCCCAGCTGGTTCTGTTTGTGCAGGTCCTCCAGCGCCTTGACGAAGCCTTCGGCGAACTCTTGTTCCTCGCTGGCCGCCACCTTGGGGTAGAGGAACTGCGTGCTAGTCGGCGTGGTGGTAACCAGCCCGTTGGACTGGATGATGAGGCGCTCCAGCTCGGGCGAGGCCAGCTTGAGCAGCCCCAGGTCCGGGGAGGCCAACAGGCCGTCGGGGGGCGCCGCGCCCGGGGCCCCGTCGGCGCGGAGAGAGGCCGGGGGTGGCGCGACCGTGGGCTTGAGCGCTGCCGCCAACTGCTCACTCAGGCTCAGTGTCAGCGCGTCCTTCTTCAGCATACTGCCGGCCGCTGCCGCCGTCGTCGGGGGCGCCCCGGGAAACAGTCGGCCCGGGGACGCGAAGCCACCCCCGCCGGTGCCGCTGGCGCCGCCGCCCAGGCCGCTCAGAGCCTCATCGCTGTAGAAGGGTGTTTCCATCCTCCGCCTCCCCCGCGCTGGCCCCGGGGGAGGGGAGTGGCCGCGGCCGCCCGGGGGGCCTGCGCCCCCCCCTTCCCAAGGCGCCTCCACCCACCACGGCCGTGCCGCTGCGCCCGGCGCTCCGCTGGCGGCGGCTACTGCCGCCGCGCCGTTCGCACCGCCCAGTTATAGCCTCGGCCTGACGCGATGAGCTCACCGCCCCCGCTCGCCATTGGGCGCGGGTGACGTTTTTATTTGCATAGCGGGGCGGGGCCTTACCGTTGCCGCGGCGACGCGCGGTAAACTGCACAACAACGCGCAGCCTTCTGGGTTGACGTCATGGGGGAGGGCCGCGCCCCCGGCGCAGGGAGCCAGCCCCGGGAGCGCTATTTACGGCCGCGGCTCCCAGCGCCGCCTCCTGCCTAGGGACGTCCGGGGTGGTGTGATGGGTCCGGCCCGGCCCTCCCGCCGCGAGGCTCCGCCCCCAGCCGCGCGGGGGGCCCCAGCTGGCGGGGGCGGAGGCGAGGGCAGGGGTGGCGCCCAACCCCGGGGGACTGGAGGGGGATGGGCTCTGAAAGGATAAATAACTCGACGGCGCCTTCCGTGCCACTGCGCCGTCAACGTCTTCGTTAGCGGTGTTCAGGCTGGCTTTGTGCGCGCTGGGGCTGTGCTACTAGCTCTTCTGGGGTGGGGGGCCGGCTGCCGTTCCTGGGGTGTGTATGCCCCAGGAAGACGGGGGAGCGGAGGGCCGGTAGAAGTTGCTGGAAGCGCTTCGGTCCTGATCTTTTTCACTGGGTGGGGTTTAGAGCTGCCAGACCCACTTCCTGCCTTTACCGCAGGGAAACTGAGGCTTGGCGAGGCTTAGTGACCTGCCACTACTGGGTCGGCCCCATAGAACCTAGACATCCAGGTGCCTGGGTAGCGGCTTCCCTCAGCCACCCATAGGCTATCCTCGTTCTGCTGTGGGTCCCAGGACGTGAGTTCCCATTTCTGGCCAGCCCCTCGGCTCTACCACCCCAGGGCTGGACCCATGCGGCAGGTATCACAGCTGGTAATTATTACCTGTTTATATCTTGGCTGTTAAGACTTGGTAAGCCGCTATTAAGGTTGGCTGGGGAGGGCACAATCCCACCTCCGTCAGACTCTGAAGCAGTGGTTTTCTCAACCTTTCTAATGCAGCGACCCTTTCAAACAGCTCCTCATGTTGTGGTGACCCCTCAACCATAAAACTATTTTCATTGCTACTTCACTGTTATTTTGCTATTGTTATGAAAGGGTCGTTCGACCCCCAGAGGGGTCGCAACCCAGCCGTTGAGCACGCTGCCAAGGGATTCCTGAGACTTCTGGGTCACAGTGCTTGTCCCAGCTCACTGACCCTCTTACCCCCTCAGCCACTGCAGTCAGTGCCCTTTGACCCTTATCAGTCCTCCCTTCCTCGCTCAGATCCCAAGCACCTGTGCTTAAGCCAATCCAACCCTATGTCAGGGCATCTGCACTTGCTGTGCCCACTCCCAAAGCCGGCAGGGAGTGAGTGAGTGAGAGAGAGAGAAAGAGTGTGTGTGTGTCCATCCACGTCCTCTGGTAGCCCCTGACATTATTCTTGTCCAATCCTTAAGAAGTATGGGGTATATCATGAGTCCTGGTAGACAGGGACCTCTTGAGTTCCTGGGCTGCAGAAACCACCTGTGGAACTGGGGCACAAGCTCTTTAAGTAGGTCACTGTGGGCGGCCGTTGGCCTCAGTTTGTCTGACTGGCCAGTGGGTATGAACAGCTTTTCCTCTTCCTCCTCTGCCCATGCCATCCCGCCCCAGCTCTAGAGCAAGATCAGGCAGAGGAGAGGCTGGCACCCTTGGCAAGTGGCCTAGAGGCCCGGCTGCTCCTCTGGAGGGCTGGGGGATGGTGTGTCCTCTCTATAGGGGTAGCAGGGGCCTTGCTTGTGCGCCTGAGTGTAGCACTGTGTGCCTAGTGTCCACGAGTGGGTTTTGTGTGCCTGTGTGCTAGATCTCTGGAGGGGTGCCCATGTGAGGGACGTGTCTGAGTATGTGGGGATGGGTAGGTCCTCACAGGGTGTCTGTGATTTTTTCCCGTGTGAGCATCCTCAGATGAAATGTGCTGATCTGCGTGTCTGTCCACATATGGGGTTTGCCTGCAATGTGAGTCTACGTGTGTGTCCAGGTGTGGGGTCTCTGTGCCCCTTTGCCCATGAGGCCATGTGTCTTACTCTCTTTGTAAGTCTGGACCCAAGCCCCACCTAAGCAAAGGGCCCCCAGTGGGAGGAGATTTGGCCCCACCTGGCAGCCTGCTCTAAGCCAGGACCCTTTTGGGACTCAGTCGGCCCAGCATACCCTGGGCCGGATGGGCAATCATTGGTAGTGCTTCCCCCAGAGGCAGAGATGGGAGGGTGACTGGGCAGCCAGGCTAAGGCCAAGTCTTCAGCGTCCTGCCCTGACTTTTGGCAGGTGGAGGCAAGTCTGGGAGCCCTGGGCAGAGCCAGCCGGAACAGAATGATGGATGGGTGAGCAGGCCCTGGAGACGGGGGCACAGAGAGATCAAGGAAGATGCCCAAAGCTACATAGAGGCCCCCCCAGCCCCACCCCTTCAGTGCTCAGTCACCCCTAACTATGTGACCTTGAGCCAGTAACTTCACTTTTCCCTCTCCTGAAAGTGGAACACTGTTTTCAGGATTTGAAGAAATTTTAAGGATCCAATCAAAGTAAACTCTCATGAATTGACTTTATCAGACCTTGACCAAACTTGACTGTGGTTCGGAGATCTGGAGTCTCCTCTGTTGGAGTTCCTTTCCTTCACCTTCTGAAAAAAACGATCTTTCCCTCCAAACCCACCTCCAATGCCCCTTCCTCCAAAGAGCCTTCCCTAGCCACATCTCCCTCAAAACTCAGAGCCACCCAGTTGACGGCAACAGGGGATAGAACTGCCCCCTCTAGAACCAGTGAAAACTGTTCCGTGAGTTTTCAAGACTAACTCTCCGTGAGAGTAGAAAGCACAGTCTTTCTCCCTTGGAGAAGCTGGTGGTGTTGAAGTGCTGACGCTACAGTTCGTAGTCCAACATGTAACCACGGTGCCACCGGGCCCTTCCACATCCCCCTCGTTTCCATCTGTAGGCAGTCCTGCCTCTGCCTGTTTTTATTTGGCTCGGTTTCTCCCAGATCCAGGGTGGAGGGGGCTCCTCCCTCACGGACGGGCTAAAATGCAAAGAAGCAAATGCACCGCCATCAAGTCAGTGCCGACTCAGAGTGACGCCGTAAGGCAGAGTAGAACTCCTGCCTTGAGTTTCTGGGACTCTTAAGTCTTTACCAGAGTAGGAAGCCCTATCTTTCTCCCTTGGAGGGGGCTGGTGGTTTCAAACTGCTGACCTTGTGGTTAGCAGCCCACGCTACTCCATGAGGGCTCCTTCAGGGCTGGGTGGGGGAGGATCAAATCCAGCCACTCAGCATAGGAACCTGCTCTTGGCAGCCTCTGCTGCCCCACCCTCTGGGGCCCTAGGTCTGTGCACTTGCTGTTCCCTATGCCCCTGAGCCCTCCCCCACCCCCTCCTCCTCAAGTGGAAAATTCTTCCTCCCAGGCACCCAGCCCCGCCCTTCCATCTGGCTCAGCCCTGACCCCAAAGGAACTATGTCCAATTCTGCCCCACCAAGATAGAGAACTCCTCAGGCAGGGGCTGAGGCCGCCCAAGCTAAGTTGGGGGGTGGGGGTGGGGGGGGGTCCTGCAGCCCACTCAAATGCAGGGGGCCTCCGTCACCCACCACACTGATTGAGCAACTACTCTGAGTTGAGAGATGGGGCATGTGTGGCCACCCCCACCCACCCCAGGGACCCAGTCTGAGGCAGGCTTCAGACCAACATGGACTGGAGGAGGGGGATAAGGGGGAGATATAATCTGGCAGGTCACCACCCCTGGTGGTCTTTTCCCTGGCTTGGGATATTGGAAGCTGCCTTCAGGGGCTATTGAGCTCCATTTCCATTCACAGGGCCCCCATGGGGCAGAGCAGTACACCCACCGACACACACACCTAAAGTTCCTATGCAACTTTCCCCAGAGCCCTCTGGGTCTTTCTCCCACGGTGGTTGAGTGAGTTCTAAGTACCAGCCTTGCCGCTAACAGTCAAGCAAGCGCTTAACCATTGTGGCACCAGTGTTTTCTGAAAGCTCAAAACCAGGCACTGAACGCCCAGCCGTCCAGTCAGTTCTGACTAGGACAGGAGCAGAATGGCCCCTGTGCGTTCCAGAAGCTGTAAGTCTACAGGCATAGAGAGCCTCATCCTTCCCTTGCAGAAGGGCCCATGGGTTCCAACACCTGGCCTTGTGGTTAGCGCCCAGGGCTCCTTCCCCAGGTGTGGAGACACTCAGAAGACCATTGACTGGAGCATGCCAGCAGCCGCGAAGCTGGCCCCAGACTAGGCAGCAATGGACTCTGTATTGCTTGGGATCCTCACAAATTGACACTGACTCCCTGATTCAACAACAACAACCTGGACACGGCCTCCCCGAAGATGAAGCATAGCAAAGCCCGGGCTCCTTGCAGGGCGGGCTGTTCCCAGGCAGGCAGAGCAGCAAGTGCAAAGGCCCTGAGGCAGGGAACAGACGAGCACGGGGAGGAGGCAGAGTAGGAAGGAGGTGTGGTCAGAGGGGCGGGTCCAGGAGAGGCAAAGGTGAAAGGGCGGCAAGGAGCCTTGCCTGCCAAAGTCATGGGGAAATTTGCCCCTAGGCTTTGGTCCCTGGTAGTCCCCCCCCCCTCCTGCATTTGATCTTTATCTGAGACCTTAACCCAAGTCCCAAAGCGGTGTCCTGAGGGGGCGTGGAGGAGGGGTGACTTGGCACTGTCAAAAAGGGAACCCAGTCCCCGCGCCCCCCTCGTCCGCCCCTTACCGCCAGGGTTCGAATCCTCGAGGCTCTAGTCTAGCCGGAGCGCCAGGCGATTTACTTTCTCGTTTAAATCGATTCTCAGATCGGTTTAATCTTGGGCCTTAAATTTGAAAACCCAGAAACCTAAAACTGAAAGCCCCAAAGAGTTAAACAGGAAGCAGAGGGAGGAAAGGGGGAGGGGAGCATCTCAGAGGGTGGGGCTTGTAGGGTGACCTCCCCCCTCC